CTGTCTTTTTTTTTATTCCGAAGTTATTTATCAACATGGAATCTTATCCTCATCTGGTAAGTAGTCAAATACCACATATTATATATTTAAATACCAAATTTGTGCAAATATATGTCCCACATATTTTATAATACACGAGTTTGCCAGTTCGGCAAATATTTACTATACTATCTATAGTTAATATTGCCGTATCTTCGGCGTAGAGTTTACATGGAATGCACTCTGGAATTTTTTTATTAATATATTACACTGCATAAAATATTGGATATTTTCGAGGATATTTTAAGCCATTTATCAACATAGTTCACAAAAAGATTTATACAGATTAAAAACAATCCTTCTGTGACTTCTGTAATATTTTAAACAATGAAAACATTCTCAGGAGATATTGAATTAAATCCTGGTCCTGTATTTCTGTATATTGACTCCATAACTCTGTTCAAAACAACAGTCCAACTATAAAGCTGTCATCAAATGTAGTGTTAAAGCAAAGGTTGAAGATGTTATCAGTTAAAATACTTATACATTTTGGTTTTACACATTAGAGTTAATTAAACAAAATTGTTTACAAACATTTTCAAATAAAAGAATCCTCACTCTCCCGAGCCTCATTACATTGTCATTTTGCTTTCTAACATAAATATTTTTCTTTAGAGATTAATACAAGAATGAAGAATAAATGTACTGGATATTGGCTGGATAATTTTGTCAGAACAACAAACTTGCAAGACAATCTTACCTAAATTCATTAGTATGGAAAATAATTTAACAGCTACAATGAGTAATCATATATTATATGGTGGATTTGATCAATGGCACACAATGTACAAAACTAAACTTGTGATACCTTCTACTTAAAATGACAATCTCCCACAACACGATTGTTTTTGTGTGAATGTGCTGTACGTGTTAAACCGAACAGTGTGGTATATATATCATTAACTGTGCACAGAACTGGAATTTAATTATATACTTCACTCATGACCTTCAAAACATTCTCAATTATTCAGTGGTCTTCGACATGTTCACCAAATATTTTGTGTATGTTACTCAACAGTTAACATTGGCAAGTGTAAACAACAAGTGACATAACTTTTGCTTCATATGATTACAATAAAATTTTGAAAATTTGATGAGTATGGATTGAATTGACAGGTGACAATTTACTAAATAGCCGGCTGTATAGACACTTTGAATATTGTTTGCATGAAATTTTTATTTCCTGACTGCATAATTATCTGTTACAATCATGATCACATTATAAAGTTAGTTAAATTTTCTCGGTGTGGGGGTGGGTAGCACTTGCCCTGCTGCACTCCCCGCTGTGTACAGCCCTGTTTTAAATCTTATCTGCCATTATAATAAGTGATGAAATATTTCAATTGTCCCATGCATCTTCATTATTCAGTTTCTTTCAAGAAAATACAAAATGTGAATTTCGCAAGTTTTTTCGCAGATACATGTACGCGTCGCGTACCTATTTTTAACCGATAGAACACGGCCGCTCATGTTGTAAATAGTACATATATATATATATATATATATATATATATATTAATACAAGAATGAAGAATAAATGTACTGGATATTGGCTGGATAATTTTGTCAGAACAACAAACTTGCAAGACTATCTTACCTAAATTCATTAGTATGGAAAATAATTTAACAGCTACAATGAGTAATCATATATTATATGGTGGATTTGATCAATGGCACACAATGTACAAATATATTTATACCGGTCCCACCGAAACGGTTCGGTCACAAAGTGTCCGTTATATATGGTTGTTCCCAACTGTACTTTCCTTACCTGATCTTCTGAATACCGTTTCGTAAACACGTCTTATTGATATGTTTATTAAAGTTGAATTCCAGTTTCACCCGAGTGGAATATGTAACCACAGCTACTCGAGTCTTGGCGGGAAGTATTGGGAAAAATTCAATCAACTTTTGAACAAATTTTTTCTCCAAGTCGAAATTACTTGGGCGAATGCTTCCCGATTTATCCAAGACAAATACTATGTCCAATTTTGACGAGCCTAGTTAATTTTAAAAAAAATTGGACGGATTAAAGTGTCGTGCTGCCAGAGTGAGAAAGCGAGGGGGGTAAAGGGCCATGTTCCTCATCGTGTCTGTAGTCAGGTTAAGGTATTTATGTATTTTCTCAGTTATCGGTCAAAAGTATGCATATGGGCGATTTAAGTGGTCAGTTAACATCTTCAAATCATTCTCATTACCTGTAGGACGTGATTTTTGGAACGTTTTCCGTGCTGTAAGGAAAGTTCTTTTGGATAATTCGGTCTTGCTTGTGTCTGCAAAACAAAAAATTGGACATCAAAAAGCGATCTTGTCCGCACATCATTTTTTCTCTCCAAGCGTGGTTCAATTCAGTCTTGCCAATATTCAGTTGTCTGATTATAATTATTTTCCTCAAGTCACATACGAGGAAAGTGACTCTATGAAGAGAATGGCAGAACGGAGGGGCGGGGGTGATGGGAGTACTCGAGTATTGACCACGTTTTACAAGAAATAGTAAAATATAATAAATACATAGTAACATGTGCAGTAACATGTACATTTAAAGTTTGTTTATTTTATATCTCACACTGTTTCTTCTATAATAATTATCACGATTTACTGTTACAACGAAATAAGCACTACTCTGTTACACCAGGGCGTACCCAAAGGGGGATTTGGGTGTGTACCCCCCCCCCCTCCTCCAGAAAAATTCAATCAAATTTTGAACAAATTTTTTCTTCAAGGCGACATTGCTTGGGCCAATGCTTCCCGATCTATCAATGACAAATACTATGTCCAATTTTGACGAGCCTATAGTTAATTTAAAAAAGATTGAACGGATTAAGAGAGCTTGCGTGTAAGAATCACAAAATGTGTGGCAGATATGAAAAACTGAAAATTCTTCAATTTCCCTAGATTTTGTATATATTGTAAACATACCTAACCTCACACATTTACTGAAGTTTCAGCCATGAAACAAAAAATGAAGAAAAATTAGAGCACTTCCAAAATCGAACCAAAAATGATGCGAAATGTCCAAGAAATTTCGCTATAAAAAGCAGTCAACATCATGTGCTGTGCTGAGCAGCAATTATAAGTTTTTGCTCTGCTGTTACAATATATGTTTTTAGACTATATGGAACTTTCTCGTGATATCTTTTCTCCATAAATCGAAACTTATTGACTTGGTTATTGTAGATCAAATATCGTTGATTTCCGGGTTTTCCAAACTAGCCAAAGTACGTCGTGTGGATCACCTATTTAAATATGGTCCTATTTCTTTATAAATGTACATATGCATAATTTGTTAGGGCTAGGATTTAGTCATTCGACGACGATTTCAAATGTTGGGGATTCTTTTGTGTCTTGGCAAAATTTGCAGTTAAACATGTACCATATTAGCATAATGGGCAATTGCAGCTATAGACTAAATTTTGATTTGGACGAGAAAAACAAAATCCATCAGCACAGCTAGAAAGAGCATGGTAAAATTAGTAAAATTACAAAGTTTCGTTGCAAAATGTTGTAAAATGAGGAAAATATAGCCCTGCAAAATTTGCAAAGTTTGTATTAATTTGTGAGTGCGCACGGGAATTTGCACCACTTTCCGCCCAAGCAAATGTGGTGTACAAAATTTGCAAATTTCGTAGGGTATTATTTTCTTCATTTTACAACATTTCGTGGCCAAACTTTTCAATTTTAATAATTTTAACATGCTCTTTCCAGATGGATTTTGTTCTTCTTGCCTAGATCAAAATTTAGTCTATCTGATCTGTTATAGCTGGAATGGACATTTGCATTGTAGACTAAATTTTTATCTAGAAAAAAAATTCATCACAGCTTGAAAGAGCGTCACAAAATTAGTAATATTCCAAAGTTTCGTTGCGAAATGTTGTAAATTGTGGATCACATAGCTTTGCGAAGTTTGCAATTTTGAGTCATTTTAGATTACAAAACGGGAAATTGGTGCCCCAACACCCGATTTGGACTGTCAATTTCCCGTGCGTAATACAAAATGACTGAAAAACGGCAAACTTCCCATGGCTATATTATCCGCATTTTACAACAAATTGCAACGAAACTTTGGAATATTAATGCAAATGGTCCGTTGCCCGTTGAGTAGTTCGTATTAACTGGAGCGTAACACTGTGAATATTATTTCTTAAATTTTATTTCAAAACGATTCTGTATTTGCTGCAGTCGTCACTCCAGAGAACACACGCCTCACTTCTTAAATATTGGTCATGCATTTTTAAATTAACTCAAATTTACATCATGGAAAACACAATCATGCAGATATGCAAATACTATACAAATATAAATAAAAACGTTGTCGTTGAATGGAAAATCAGCTGAAAAAGAATACAAGATGGTAAGCGTGATCTTCTCTAGAATGCCTGCAACAAATTATGTCGTGGTCTAGTACGTAGAGAAAAAGTAGTTCCTAGATTGTTTACTACGCGTAAGATAAAATAATAATTGATTTGTGACATTTGTAACCTACGCTGTTATAAACCCGGAAGTAACTTTCTCAACAAAATTGTAAATAAACGCACGCCGTGAAACAGGGTGGACTTTTGTCTACGCATGCGCGAGAAACGTAATCGTGGAGTGCACGTGAGCGCGGGTTAACCGCATGACTAAATTATGGAAACAAACATCAAATTTGCCAAAACTACTCGTGTTGTGACGTCGTTTTCTTGTTTGTTTAGTGTTTCTACGCTCACAATTTAGGCATTTCCAACCTAGAAGTGTTTGCTTTGGAATAAGAACGCAAAAGTAGAAATAAAAACTTTGTTGCAGCAGTTTAATTTCGCAGTGCAAATATACCTGTTTTTAATATGTATATCCTTTTCGAAGTGAGATATACAAGTGCAAATTGACCTTCTGTAAACTCGTACTTGCTCTATTTTTAACTCAATAAAAACTACTTTTATCCATGGAGAAACTATTGGACTCTAAAGATAAGCTTGAATTTTTGTGGTGATATAGGCTAATTTTTTTGCAAACAGTTATTTAGTACTCGGTAGTGTAGTTGTTGTTTATGAACAAAAGTCTAAATTGAATTCAACATCCGTCAACAAAAAGGAATCGCGCTTATTACTACTCTGTAGACGATAGACAATTAATATAATTCACTAACAACCCATTCTACAATATAAACTAGAAATCGGGCAACAATTGTCACGAAATACTACAATGAAAATAGGGTCTCTGGACTACCAATTTCACCGAACGGTCAAGTTTCTCTGCAAAGATCGCCCCCTTGCCCAATTTTCCTCGAGTAGATCATCGTGTTTTTAAGTCAAGGATTATGTATACTTTAACATAAAATAATAAAAAAAGTGGTGATAAAGGGTAGATTTTGAATAAAATACAAATATCTGTATACAAGATCTGAGCGTTATTATGAAGCACTCGATACTTTCTCCAACAACATAGTGCGTTTATATTTTTACAAAATTAAAAATATTCACACATTAAAGATATGAAAATGTAGCTTGCATTACAAAGAAATGTTGGCTTACCTAAGTTATACCTTACACGTCGATTAAAGTCATTAAAGCCCTTTCAAAGACGCGTGCCACATTAAACTACAGGTCACATGGCGGTAGAGAACTCGACGGAGTATTCACGATATTTCATAGCCAGTTCAAACGCCACTGTGTACTGTTCCCGTGAATTATGATGCCCAACACATCGGGTAACACAATTTACCACTTTGTTCGGCTGTTCCAAGTACACTTTTAAGATACAAGGTCCGATCATATAATGTTCTTCGAACCATCTGCTCAAAACAGTACAACATAAATATCGCCACTCATTTTATTCGTGTGAAAATATAAGTTTTCCTTTCAATTGCTTTGCTTTAAAAACAGTCATTAGGTTGTTGGAGAGTTAGGGAAAGTACATTTATTATGCCGAGGGGGGGGGATGAAGATGTTAAGGGGGGCTCCGAAATATTTTCTGGCATTAAAGGGGGGGCTCTGAAAGTTCTTGATATACTTAAGGGGGGGGGCTCTAAACTTTTCAAAGGTTTGACCCCAGCAAATTAAAGTTAAAATTTTTACATCAGTTTCAGGTAAAATTTGCGTAATAAAGTAATTATTTTTGTCAAATGATAACCATTTTTGTAAAATACAGTCAATTTACATGCAATTTGTTTGCGAAATTTGCTTTAGAAAACGCTAGAAATTCAGTCCTAGAGCTTCGAAAATGTAAAAATTTTCTGGGCGCCCTTTTCTCCCAAAACTTAGTATAAGAGTGCCAATCAATCACAAAAAGCTTTAATTTATTATAATTATTACACGTATAATCCTCTGACACCCCCCCCCCACCCCAAACGTCAGATGCTGTGCTACGTCTCTGATGGTTGTATTCGAAACCGATTTCAGTTTTAAGATATCCTTAGTCTGCTCTGTAAATGGTACATGAAATCACCTATAGCTTATTTTAAATTTTCTTGCGCCAGGTTTGTGAAGTAATTTACGCGCCAAAAAGCAAAAAAGCATATACAATTTGCAAGAATGATATGTTCTATGTTTATGGGATATTTCGTACAAACGGGATGGAAATTAAAGAAACTGAAGCATACTGGCACTTTTGCATGCATTGTTGACAGGCATGCAAAGACATTTGCAACAGATGCCGGGAGATACGTTGGGTGGGGGTAACATATACTGTAAGGTTCCAGCACATTACCCTGATCCAGGAAATCCTGGCCACTACATGAACGTGTTCAAGACTCCGAATACGCTGAATGATGGACAACAACAACCTGTTGATAATTCCACCCCTCGAGCTAATTTAAAATGTTTTAAAGACGGTGCCATTTCATCTGGCGCTAGTGAGATGAAAGAAGCAGCAGATCGGTAGTTTTGTTGAGGAGAAGCACTTGAGTATATCAGACATCTTCAGGAACTGCAAATTGTATCTATGATAAGAGAGAATTCCGGATTGTACTCCTTCGATTCCGATTTCTAGAGGGGGGGGGGCATTGAAAATTTTTAAAACTTGGAGGGGGGCATCGAAATTTACCGATAACCTCAACAGGGGTCCTGCAAAAATATGAGCTTTTTTCAAGACATCTTCATCCCCCGCCCTCGGTGTAATAAATGTACTTTCCCTTAGTATAAAACTTACAACAAAAATTACGCCATTGCTTTAAAAAACCAGTGAATCACAATGCTGTAAACTTCAACATCGTTAGAAATTGTAAGAAAAACATCGAAAAGCAAAATTCGAGGGAAAAAGCTCACGAGCCCGCACTATTTTAATGCAGCGTTGACAAAAGTCGACCCTGTTACGCAGTGAGACAATTGTTCACTGTATTTTAATATTGCAACTGAAACTCTCTGATTATGTTACATTGGTTTGTTACAGTTCTTGAAGCATAAAGGAAAGTCCTTTGTATTTTTCGGGAGTTAGGTAATATCGAGTTGGATTCGAGTTAAACTTCGAGTTAAACTTCGAGTTGGATATTTTTCTTTATTTTCGGGAAAATGACAATTGTATTTCACCCAACCTTTTTGGCTGCGGAGCGAGCGAGCCTGAAGCAAAATTACACATATGGGGGGATACCTTAAACCATTGTTTGCCCACATTGTGATCGTGCACGATCGGAAATACTCAGTAACTCCTTTTTATCGGTTGTGCTTGCACAACACCTTGTGGTAATTTTGAGTTACAGATTATAGTTACAGATTTGCACAGCACACTCCCTATATCAGATTTTTTCACTGACTGGTTATATTAGGCCCGGAACTGGCGTGATAAGCAGACCGTCGAGGTAAACTGTGAGCGTAAAGATGGCGCTTTAAGCAGCCGCTATTAGTCCATACCTCATTAATGATCTCCCCCCTGACCTGACATGGTTTCCGCACAATTTCTAAATGTTATAATAAATCTTTTTACAGAGATACCTTTTTCATATGCACTTCATTGTTTGTATCCTTAATTCGAAACAAAAGCACTCGTACCCTAATTTATTATATAGACTATATAGTAGACAGTGCCGGGCACCAAAAAATACACAGTGAGATATTTTCCATAACTAGATCTCCACTAATGAAGATATCGATTAAGTATTCATTTTCTTTGTTATTTTTACTAACGACTATATAATAAAAAGAACGTTAATTACATGCTGACTTGAAGTTTCATATCTTAAATTTATTTTACCTTCTCGTGGTGAAAACTGAAAACAATACTGTTTTACTCACTCAAACGTAAAATTTCTTTCTTCGCACCGCCGTTTGTCTGCGATAGCAGACTGACTCAGCCGCCAGCCTCCCGGTCCCCTCTCCCCGGCCCCCTCTCCCCGGCCCCCCTCTTCCACTCTAGCCGCGGAGAAACAGCAGACTAATCTCAGAGGCAGTGCTTTTCTCGTACCCAGAGCCCTTCTTACGCGCGGTCAACGGAGCGCGACGAGGGGCTCTGGCCAAATCCATATCAAACTGGCATCTGATTGGCTACAACGAAGGTTATTGTTCTAATACAGGATATATTCTATTACCATGTTTTGATGGTATCCGGTTATGGATTTGGCCAGAGCCCTCGTCGCATCGTGCGTACGAAGGGCTCTTGGTACGAGAATGAAGTTAACATCTTCAAATAATTCTCATTACCTGGATGTGATTTTTGGAACGATTTCCATGCTCTAAAGAAAGTTGGTTTGGATAATCCGGTCTTGCCTGTGTCTGCAAAACAAAAAATTGGACATCGAGAAGCGATCTTGTCGGCACATCATTTTTTCTCTCCAACCGTGGTTCAATTCAGTCTTGCAATATTCAGTTGTCTGATTATAATTATTTTGCTCAAGTCACATACGAGGCAAGTGACTCTATGAAGAGAATGGCAGAGCGGAGGGCGGGGGTGATGGGAGTACTCGAGTACTGACCACGTTTTACGAGAAATAGTAAAAACTAATACATACACAGTAACATGTGCAGTAAGTCGCCAAAGCCCCCACTAGAGGTTCATCAATCCTTGACCTCATCATTAGCAACTTATCGAAGTATTATCAAACCCCACAACTCCTACCACCACTTAGACCATTCGACCATAATATCGTACTATCGGCCCCCTCTTCAAATCATTCTAGCCATTGTACTGAACCTAAAGACATCAAGTATACGATGGGTCGGTTTCCTCAATCTAGCATAGGTGCCTTTGGAAGGTGGACCTCAACGCGTAAATGGTTCGAGGAAGCAGCTCCTAACGCCACGGTGGATGATCTAGCATCTTCCTTCACATCACAACTGGCCCGGGCAATCGATCGTTTTTTCCCTCCTAGAACAATGAAACAACATATCACCGACAAACCTTGGATAACACCAGAAATCAAGAACCTTATAAAAGACCGCCAGAAAGCCTTCCACAGTAACAATACCCCCCTTTGGCGATTACTGAAAAATAAAGTACAACTTGAAATAACGAAAAAGAAAAAGTCATTTTACAGAAATAAAGTCAACCACTTAAAGTCTAGCGACACCCGTAAATGGTAGAAAATGGTAAACAAAATGTCGGGAAAACCTGAGAAAATTAGAGCTTTTTCCCTGGAGCGCGACGGTATAATTTTGAACGGTGAAAGTCTCGCATCCGCCCTCAACGAATTCTATGTGTCCGTAAATTCAGATATCCCACCCCTCGACAATAACTCCCTGCCGGTGTTACTACCCTCAAGAAACGACATCCCTGTTATTCAACCCTATGAAGTTTGTAACAAACTCTGTGCGCTTCAAACCCACAAAGCAACAGGTCCCGACAAAATCCCGAACCGAATTCTGAAAGAGTTTGCTTTTATTCTAGCAGAACCAATCGCTATCATTTTTAACAAATCACTCTCTTCTAGTGCCGTTCCAAAAATCTGGAAAGAAGCAAACGTCATCCCAATCCCAAAGATCAATCAACCAGAGAGCGAAAGCGACACTAGGGCTATATCCCTTACCCCAGGCCTATCCAAAGTCCTGGAAGACTTCGTGGTCAGACGGATGTTGGATGACCTAAATGGGAGGATTGACCCTTGTCAATTCGAATGCCTAAAAGGTCTATCGACTACTTACTGTCTCCTTGACATGATCCATACTTGCTTATCCCACCTTGATTCACAGAATAAACATATTCGCATCTGCTTTTTGGACTTCTCGAAAGCCTTTGATCGAATCGGCAAACTGATCAACCTGGGTGTTAGAAGATCTCTTATTCCATGGATAATTAATTTCCTAACGAACCGAAGACAACGAGTAAAGATTGGTAGATCACTTTCTAATTGGCTCCCCGTGACAGCTGGGTTCCCCCAAGGAACAAAACTAGGCCCTATTTTATTCCTTGTCATGGTTAATGATTTGAAGATAAGCTCGCTTGATACAAAAATGTGAAAGTTTGTAGATGATAGCACGGTTTCCGAACACCTTACTGGGAATATATCGTCAGTTACTTAACCAACCCTTAACCTCATCGAATCATGGTGCTCCAACAATTGGATGATTCTTAACCCAATAAAATGCAAGGAACTTAGAATATGCTACCTGAAAAGGTCCGTCGAACTCCAACCCTTAACAATCGCAGGACGCGAACTAGAAATAGTTCAATCCCACAAAGCATTAGGCCTAATCATTCAAAATAATCTGAAATGGGACGAACATATTCGATCCATAATCGCGAAAGGTTCCAAACGCTTGCACATCCTCAGAATTTTGCGACGGAGCGGTATCCTACCAGCTGACCTCATTAAAATATATTCCGCCCTGATTCGCTCGATTTTGGAATATAGTTGCGAAGTTTGGAGCAATTCGTTGCCCCAATATCATTCTGATGAATTGGAAAGTCTACAAAAACGAGTAATGCGTATTATATTTCCTGGCCATCCCTACAACGAAGCATTGGTGATGGCGGGTTGCGAAAGATTAGATAATAGACGAAACACAATCTGCATAAAAACTTTGGGCAAAATTATTAAACATGGTCCCCTAAAGGAACACGTATTGCAAACCAGAGCAACTGCTCACCAATACAACACCAGGAATTCAAACGACTTATCATTATACAAGGGTAGAACAGAACGCTTCAAAAACAGCTTCTTCCCAAGCACAATTGCAAAGATAAATAAGTAGTTACAAATAGAAAACTCTCCAATCGTTTTCTTATTTCCATTTTAAAATAACTTTTAGCATAACTTTTAATACTCATATTCACAATGTAAAATATTTCATCTTTTTAACTTTCTTAAATTTGTAAACACTTTGTAATTCAAATCTTATTTGCGATAAAAGTGTTTATAAACCATCAATAATAATAATAATAGTAACATGTAAATTTAAAATTAGCTTATTTTATATCTCACACTGTTCCTTCTATAATAATTATTACGATTTACTGTTACAACGAAATAAGCACTACTCTGTTACACAAGGACCTACCCAAAGGGGGATTTGGGTGTGTACCCCCCCCCCCTCCAGAAAAATTCAATCAACTTTGAACGAATTTTTTCTCCAAGGCGTAATTGCTTGGGCCAATGCTTCCCGATTTATCCATGACAAATACTATGTCCAATTTTGACGAGCCTAGTTAATTTAAAAAAAAATTGAACGGATTAAGAGAGCTTGCGTGTAAAAATCACAAAATGTGTGGCAGATATGAAAAATTGAAAATTCTTCAATTTCCGAAGATTTTATATATATTGTAAATCTACCCAACCTCACACATTTACTGAAGTTTCAGCCATGAAACAAAAAATGAAGAAAAATGAGAGCACTTCAAAAATCGAACCAAAAATGATGCGAAATGTCCAAGAAATTTCGCTATATAAAGCAGTCAACATCATGTGCTGTGCTGAGCGGCAATTATAAGTTTTTGCTCTGCTGTTACAACTGATAACTTTTATTTCACACTATTTCAAGATAATACAAATACAAAATATACAAATTGATTTACAGATGGATAGAGAATATACATAGAATTAAATATGAATACATAGAAAGGAAGTGTACAGAGACCGAAGTAGCATAGCTTTCGAGCCGGCCTCTGAAACATTTAACGTTATAATTCAATTCGGTTAAGTATTTGCAACTAAATTTCACTGAACATATTGATAAACTGAAAATTAATTCTGATTATGTAATAATAAATTCATGTAGCTTTTTTTGAAGAGAATTAATGAGGATAATTTTTTAATATCGATATCCATAGTTTCCCATATTTTTGAGGAAATAAATTTGAAAGTATGAACTCCATAATTAGTTCTTACTTTTGGTCTTACAAGATTCATTTTATTAGCATATCTAGTGTTATAGGTATGTTGACTAGCAGCTTGTAGAACAAAGGATGAGAATGCTCTTGGAACATTTGTTTTCATATTTATAAGTTTATAGGTAAACTCAGCAATTCTTAATTTGAATATATTATCGAATTTTAGAATCCCAAGAAGTTTAAAATACGAAGTTACATTTTCCCTAGAATGAGCAAAAAATACACTTCTGATAACCTTATTTTGTTTTGTTCTTATCTTGTTCATCTTTGATGTATATGTATTCCCCCAGCTCATAATTCCATAGTTGAGATACGGATAGACAAGAGTGTAATAGATTTGCTTTAGCATAGAGAGATCAAGATAGTATCTTAGTTTAGTTATTATACCTGCATTTTTAGCAATTTTATTATTTACATGTTTTATTTGATACTCCCAACTAAGATGCTCATCTAAGAAGATTCCTAAGTACTTTATATAACTTTTTTGTTTGACGTTAGCAATTTTTATTACAGGCATATTCTTTCTTTTTGATGTTATAATCATGAAGTGAGTTTTCTTAAAATTAACTGATAGTTTATTAATACTACAATAATTTAACAATAATTTAAACTCCTCGTTCATAACAGTCTCCAGTTCGCTAACATCTTTCGAGGAGAAGAAAACATTTGTATCATCAGCAAAGATGCGGAAAGAGAGTTTTTTTGAGCACTTATGCATATCATTTATATAAAGCAAAAATAATAGTGGCCCTAGGGTGGAACCTTGCGGGACACCGCAGGTCGTAGTAAGCATCTCAGATTCTGTTTGCCCTATTTTAACGTATTGCCTTCTGTTTTCTAAATAGCTTTTAAACCATAATAATTGATTCCCACGAATTCCATATTTCATTAATTTGGAAGCTAGAATTTGATGATTAACAGTATCAAATGCTTTCGAGAAATCTAAAAATAAACCACAGGTAATCAACTTATTATCAATAGCGTTATTTAAATTTTCAGTAATTTCAAGAATAGCCTGTTCAGTAGAATACCCTTTCCGAAAGCCGAACTGATGTTCAAAGAGAATATTGTTTTTTTCAAGAAAATGCAACAGTTGATCGTAGACAATACGTTCAAGAGTTTTACTGAATGGGGATAGAATAGAAATTGACCTATAGTTATTAGGATCTGTTAGGACACCCGATTTGTAAATAGGGGTAATTCTAGATATTTTAAACAAATCAGGAACAATACCCATTCTAATTGATTGATTATATATGTATGAAAAGGGTATTGCAAGTTGGCTACTTGCTATCTTAATAAGTTTATTTGGAATATTTAACGATGCTTTATTTTCATTCAAATCATTAAAAAGTTTCATTACCTTAGATGGAAGAACTGGAGACATAACAAAACTAGAAGTTGGGGAATTATCAATAAGGCTAGTTGGATTACCATTTACACTTGGAATTTTGCTTGCGAGACTTTGTCCTACATTAGCAAAATGTTCATTAAACTCATTAGCTATGTCGTAAGTATTTGAAAATGTCTTATTATTCCTTATAAGACTTGTTGGTAATTGCTGAGCCTTGGCCTTTCTTTTAATAATGGTTCCAATTAATTTCCAAGTAGCCTTTAAGTTATTTTTACACATTTCAAAATTACTTTTATAATACATCATTTTGCTTTTATTTTTAATTACATTTAACTTATTAGCAAAAGTTTTATAAGCGCGCATTTTAATTGTATTATTGGAGTAGAAATGCGTATAATACATATTTTGTTTCATTTTAATAGATTTAAGTATACCACTCGTTATCCATGGCTTAGTTAGCTGCTTATTTTTACTGCGCGAGGCCAACTTTATTGGAGCATGTTTATTTATAACGGAAGTTAATATATCCGTGACTCTAGCAGTTACAGTATTTAGATCAGATGGAGTATCACCATTTGAAATACTGCTCCAGTTAATCAAATTTATATCATTTAGGTATGCTTTTTTATTGAAGGCACTGTAGTCCCTGTAGTAATGCCTTTCCTTAATTATTTTTAGTTCCATATTAATTAAACAAAAGACAGGTAAATGGTCAGATAGATCAAAAAGCCCAATCCCAGATGTGATATTATCAAGAGGGGCATTGGTATATATATATGGTCGATAAGAGTTTTCGAGTGATCAGTTAATCGAGTGGGTTTGGTTATGATTGGTAAAAAATTATTAGTATACAGCATATCAAGATATGCTTCTGTAGGATGGTGTTTAGTAAATTGAAAAAAATCAATATTTATATCACCTAATAAGTAAACTTGATATTTACATTCATTTAAGTATTTGAGTATCTCATCCAGTTTTACAGTGAACTGTTCAACATTACCTTTCGGGTGTCTATAAATTGATCCTATTATTATATTTTTTCCTTTTTCAGTTTCAATTTCAACCCAGCAGGATTCAACCTGGTCAATATCAATTTGTAAATCTGGCCTACTTATACATTTTAATTCTTCTGAAACATATAGAGCGGCACCACCTGCACTGGTTAATGAATCAACATGGAAAAAGTTATATCCTAACATATCAACATTAATCACACTATTTTTATTTAGTCGTGTTTCCGTAATAGCTATAACATCTAGTTTTTTTCAGATTAAGTAGCGCATTTCATTTAACAGGTTCAAGTTTTTTGAAATACTTCTAATATTACAGTGAAATAACGATAGCGCCTTAGACCCTACATTTTCAACCCTACAATATATGTTTTTAGAATATATGGAACATTCTCGTGATATCTTTTCTCCATAAATCGAAACTTATTGAGTTGGTTATTGTAGATCAAAGATGGTTGAAATTTCCGGGTTTTCCAAACTAGCCAAAGTACTTCTTGTGAATCACTTATTTATATATGGTCCTACTTTCTGTATAAATGTACATATGCATAATTTTTTAGGGCTAGGATTTAGTCAATCGACGACGATTTCAAATGTTGGTGATTCTTTTGTGTCTTGGCAAAATTTGCAGTTAAACATGTACAATATTAGCGTAATGAGCAATTCCAGCTATAGACAAAATTTTGATTTGGGCAAGAAAAACAAAATCCATCTGCATAGCTAGAAAGAGCATTTTAAAATTAGTAAAATTACAAAGTTTCGTTGCAAAATGTTGCAAAATGTTATACCAAATTTGCAAATTTCGTAGGGCTATTATTTTCCTCATTTTACAACATTTCGTGACCAAACTTTGCCATTTCACTAATTTTAACATGCTCTTTCCAGATGGAGTTTGTTCTTCTTGCCTAGATCAAAATTTAGTCTATATGATCTATTATAGCTGGAATGGACGATTTGCATTGTAGACTAAAGCTGGAGTAATACGAGCAACAAAATTGCGCAACTTGCAACAAAATCTGATTTCAACGCATGTTAATTGCAAATGTTTGCATATAAATTACAACTCGCAAGGCAACATCTGTCGACATTTCTACTTAACATGCGTTGAAATCAGATTTTGTTGCAAGTTGCAGCAATTTTGTTGCTCGTATTACTCCAGCTTAAATTTTGATCTAGAAAAAAATTTCATCACAGCTTGAGAGAGCATCACAAAATTAGAAGTTTCGTTGCGAAATGTTGTAAATTTCGGATCACATAGCTTTGCATGCAAAGTTTGCAATTTCAGTCATTTTAGATTAAAATACGGGAAATTGGTACCCCAACACCCGATTTGGACTGTCAATTTCCCGTGCGTAATACAAAATGACTGAAAAACGGCAAATTTCCCATGGCTATATTATCCGCATTTTCGACGAAACTTTGGAATATTACGAATTTCGTGATGCTCTTTCAAGCTGTGCTGAAATGTCTGCTTGTCCAGTTCAAAATTTAGTCTAAAATGCAAATGGTCCATTGCCCGTTGAGTAGTTCGTATTAACTGGAGCGTAACACTGTGAATATTAAAACGATTCTGTATTTACTGTAGTCGTCACTGCAGAGAACACACATTTCACTTCTTAAATATCGGTCATGCATTTTTAAATTAACTCAAATTTACATCATGAAAAACACAATCATGCAGATATGCAAATACTATACAAATATAAATAAAAACGTTGTCGTTGAATGGAAAATCAGCTGAAAAAGAATACAAGATGGTAAGCGTGATCTTCTCTAGAGTGCCTGCAACAAATTATGTCGTGGTCTAGTACGTAGATAAAAAGTAGTTCCAAGATTGTTTACTACGCGCAAGATAAAACAATAATTGATTTGGGACATTTGTAACCTACGCTGTTATAAACCCGGAAGTAACTTTCTCAACAAAATTGTAAATAAACGCACGCAGTGAGACAATTGTTCACTGTAGTTTAATATTGCAACTGAAACTCTCTGATTATGTTACATTAGTTTGTTACAGTTCTTGAAGCATAAAGGTAAGTCCTTTGTATTTTTTGGGAGTTAGGTAACATCGAGTTGGATTCGAGTTCGCGTTCGAGTTGGACTTCGAGTTGGACTTCGAGTTGGACTTCGAGTTGGACTTCGAGTTGGACTTCGAGTTAAACTTCGAGTTGGATATTTTTCTTTACTTTTCGGGAAAATGACAATTGTATTTCACCCAACCTTTTTGGCTGCGGAGCGAGCGAACCTGAAGCAAATTTACACATATGGGGGGATTTTATCTTAAACCATTGTTTACCTACATTGTGATCGTGCGCGATCGGAAATACTCAGTAACTCCTTTTTATCGGTTGTGCTTGCACAACACCTTGTGGTAATTTTGAGTTACAGATTATAGTTACAGATATTGCACAGCACACTCCCTATATCAGAGTTTTTCACTTACTGGTTATATTAGGCCCGGAACTGGCATGATAAGCAGACCGTCGAGGTAGACTGTGAGCGTAAAGATGGCGCTTTAAGCAGCCGCTATTAGTCCATACCTCATTAATGATCTCCCCCTGACCTGACATGGTTTCCGCACAATTTTTAAATGTTATAATAAATCTTTTTTACAGAGATACCTTTTTCATATGCACTTCATTGTTTCTATTCTTAATTCGAAACAAAAGCACTGGTACCCTAATTTATTATATAGACTATATAGTAGACAGTGCCGGGCACCAAAAAAATACACAGTGAGATATTTTCCATGACTAGATCTCCACTAGTGAAGATATCGATCAAGTGTTCATTTTCTTTGTTTTTTTACTAACAACTATACAATAAAAATAACGTTAAATACATGCTGACTTGAAATTTCATATCTTATTATTATTTTACCTTCTCGTGGTGAAAACTGAAAACAATACTGTTTTACTCACTCAAACGTAAAATTTCTTTCTTCGCACCGCCGTTAGACTGCGATAGCAGACTGACTCTGCCACCAGCCCCCCGGTCCCCTCTCCCCGGCCCCCCTCTTCCACTCTAGCTGCGGAGAAACAGCAGACTAATCTCAGAGGCAGTGCCATTCTCGTACCCAGAGCCCTTCTTGGTAGTTATTTTTAGATTAGGATTAGAGCCAGATTAAGATTAAACCAGGGTAAGGGTTAGAAGTTAGAGTGGGGGTTGGGTGGGGGTTAGGGTTCAACTTAATATAAGGCATATCCTTAAGTTAATCTTTAGCAAATTTGAAAATTAAGGATAATCTAATACTACGTGAGAGGATATGCAGAACAGTACTGATAGTTTCGAATACATATTTTGAACGAAACAATACTTAAACTGTACAAATTTTAATATATTCTTTTCCAAAATACACATAGTTATACTGTATAAGATGTAGAACATAGTGCCTTATAAAAACGATTTATAATAAAGTAAATTTACATTGCTACGTTTCATTCTCCATATTTATAAACGTAATAACACGTGTTTGAAGTTGCGAGGAAGTAAACATGAATCGGAGTTGTTCGGAAATTACCAGAACATTCGGAAACGCCAGTGTATAAGTAACTCGAAGTTTAACTCGAACTCAAACTCGAATCCAACTCGATGTTCCGGGATTCCCGTATTTTTCGTATTTCTTTAGATTTATCTCGAAGTTTTAATTTAATTAAATTACACGGAAATATTTAACCTTGGTGTAAGTGTTTTCCAAATCACCAAATGTAATGTAACTTACACCGACCAAAATAGTAATGGGAAGAATTGTTTCTGCTTTACTATCAGATTTGAACTAAGTTCATATTTTGTTGAGAGTAAGGAACAGCTCATTACAGGTATTGCAGAAATCACTTCAAACTGAACGGAATCATTTAGCACAGGCATCAAAATAGGCAACCGCGAGACTGCACGTGCTACTGTTGTTTACAAACTATATAACAATGAGCGGAAAGTATTACATGTAACCAGACACAGTTCTATAATGCGGTGCCCTAGTGTCTTCTGGGGACAAACCAAAAACAAAGTCAAAACCTTCGACACTAAACTGCATGACAGAATAGTTGCATATTGACAACAGTTTTGTCCTGAAGCCGGATGATTTCAAGCCCCCCTCCCCTATTGGCAGAAGCCCTCCCCCCCCCACCCCATTGTTGAGACCCGTCGGAAAATTGGAAATTTGTTATGTTATCGACTTTGTCGGAATCGATACGTATAAGACAATTAAATATGCAGCGTCAGCAGGGATAAATATAATATATATTACCTTAGAGATTACATGAAGAAATATGCTTGTGATTTCCCGTAAACGTACAAACTCACAGGCAGATTATAAATCCGGTGTCAAACTTGGACGGGCACCGCAATTTAAAGCCATGCTTGGGGCTGCGGTTATGTTTTTACGTTTGAAAAAAGTGTGTTCGTGCGTGCGTACGTGCGTGCGCGCAGTATGTAGATACACATATACCGTACACAAAGCAACTTGAATGCAAAGTAAATCATTAAGAAGTAAACTGTGTGTTATCAGTGTCATTTACAGTGAAGCATGTTAACGTTTTGAATAGAACAAGCGTAAGATATTGGAATCGTAACGCGCCGGTTAATAGAATCAAAACACTCAATTACGCTAATATTGTACATGTTTAAGATCAAATTTCGCCAAGACACAAAAGAATCCCAAACATCTCAAATCGTCGTCGAATGACTACATCCTAGCCCTAACAAATTATGCATATGTTCATTTATATAGAAAGTAGGACTATGTTTAAATAGGCGTTTCCCAAGACGTACTTTGGCTAATTTGGAGAATCCGGAAATTTCAATCATCTTTGATCTAAAATAACCAAGTCAATAACATTTCGATTTCTGGAGAAAAGATATCACAAGAAAGTTCCATATATTCTAAAAATATAGATTATAACAGCAGACCAAAACTTATAATGCGCGCTCAGCACAGCACATGATGTTGACTGCTTTATATAGCGACATTTCTTGGACATTTTGCGTCATTTTTGGTTCGATTTTTGAAGTACTCTAACTTTTCTTCATTTTGTGTTTCATGGCTGAAACTTCAGTAAATGTGTGGGGTTGGATAGCTCTACAATATATATAAAATCTAGGAAAATGAAGAACTTTCAGTTTTTCATATCTGCCAGAAAATGGCGAATTATTGCGATTTTTACAGACAAGTTCTCTTAAAGTGTCGTGCTGCCAGAGTGAGAGGGTGAGGGGGGGGGGGGGGGGGGGCCATGTTCCTCATCATGTCTGTCGTCAGGTTAAGGTATTTATGTATTTTCTCAGTTATCGGTCAAAAGTATGCATATGGGCGCAGTGGTCAGTTAACATCTTCAAATCATTCTCATTACCTGTAGGACGTGATTTTTGGAACGTTCTCCCTGGTGTAAGAAAAGTTCTTTTGGATAATCCGGTCTTGCCTGTGTCTGCAAAACAAAAAATTGGACATCGAGAAGCGATCTTGTCGGCACATCATTTTTTCTCTCCAACCGTGGTTCAATTCAGTCTTGCAATATTCAGTTGTCTGATTATAATTATTTTGCTCAAGTCATATACGAGGAAAGTGACTCTATGAAGAGAATGGCAGAGCGGGGGGCGGTGGTGATGGGAGTACTCGAGTACTCAGGTGCGTTAATGACTGGGACAAAAAGGTATTAGTTTCCAGTGCCTTTTGTGAAAGTAGCGAATTTAGGCGTACAATTTCCGTCTTTTTTTTCGAACATGGCGTCGGAAGAGAGTGGTGTTTATTTTGTATACTGTATGGTATTAAATTGAAGATTGGCAAGAAACTGTTTCTGTATTAATACCGATCGTAGTTATAGTTCGTTTAAAGGTTTGTATTCTATTTATTGGTACAGTTTTCCTAGTATAGCCTTTACGGCTTTATAGTTTTGCTTTGTGTATATTTATATATTTTACAGTCACTATAAAAACATTAATACTGCCATTGAAAGCCAGTATTAGGAAGGATTCTAGCTTGTGTTTATACTGATTCTAACAATGGCCATAGCCCAAAATAGATTTACTCACAAATTTCTGGGAGTATTAAAAATCATAGTCTTACCTGCTGAGAGTTGCTATGAAAAGTGAGCCAACCAGATGTCCAGATACATTCCTTTCATTCCCTTTTAAGACTTTAAAATCAACTGCAATACGTACATTCTATAATTTTTATAATTTTTTACCTTGTCTCCACTTATTTTAATACATTTAATTAATTAATTGAAGAATCAATTTCATATGATACAAATATTTACATCTTACAGTATGTTTGGCATACACTGTATTCACTCATTTTAGTGCTCTTTATTATTAAAATATGTAGGACTTATCCTCAGAACGGTGAGAGCCCACTTACATTTCAATACTATTCAAACATATTTCATGTTCCATTAGATCTGGATAGCTATTCAATGTATACTGTGCACATCCATATATAAAGTAGCTTTGCCATCTAGCTGGGCCATTTGTGATAGTAATTTTTGTCCAGTGCAGTCGACTATTAAAAATTGATAACTTTATATACTACATTATTATTGATTTGATAATTTTAATAGTGTTGTATTCAATTTTAACACTAAGTAATTATACTGCATTTGATTAATAATAGTAAATTTGTTAATAATATATTTATATAACTCTGTTAGTTAAAAACACAGTTAAGATTGAACTGGTTGCCGAAAGACACAATATCTTGACAACCTGCTGCCGAAAGACGATTCATCTTGACAGCACAAGAGTTTCCACTATGGCTGTGTTTCACATAGTTTTTACAAGCTATTAGATTTTATTATTAAGTTACTGTTTATATTATTTAAACAAGGTGTACTCAATACAGTACTCATTAATTCCTTACCTGTTAGCTACCGTATATCTTTAGCAAATACCCAATAAAAACGCAGTTAAGATTCAACTGGTTGCCGAAAGACACAATATCTTGACAACCTGCTGCCGAAAGACGATTCATCTTGACAGCACAAGAGTCTCCACTATGGCTGTGTTTCACATAGTTTATACAAGCTATTAGGTTTTATTAATTAAGTTATTTATATTTATATTATTTAAACAAGGTATTCATTAATTCCTTGCATGTTAGCTAGTATATATTTAGAAAATACCAGCCCAATAAAAACACAGTTAAGATTCAACTGGTTGCCGAAAGACACAATATCTTGACAACCTGCTGCCGAAAGACGATTCATCTTGACAGCACAAGAGTCTCCACTATGGCTGTGTTTCACATAGTTTATACAAGCTATTAGATTTTATTAAGTTATTTATATTATTTAAACAAGGTATTCATTAATTCATTGCATGTTAGCTATATATTTAGAAAATACCAGCCCATTAAAAACACAGTTAAGATCCAACTGGTTCCCGAAAGACACAATATCTTGACAACCTGCTGCTGAAAGACGATACATCTTGACAGCACAAGAGTTGCCACTATGGCTGTGTTATAATTTTGTTAGGATATTGTGTACATGGTACTACATTTTATTCCTAAATTATACATGGTGTTAAATATTACAATCACTGTGTTGTTGTTAATTACAAAATTTAGAATCTTTACCATAACTGTCATTACCCTAGAGGAGGGGGGGGGGGGGTCAGAGAAGGTCTATAATACTGTAGGTACAATATAATTTTCGCTCAAAATTTAGATCTGATGAGTAAAATCATCTGACATTAGACTGAGTAAAATAATAAAGTAGGGTGCATTGCCACACAAAAGGGTTAAATTGCAGGTATTTTACATAATCCATTTAACTTTTGATCATTTAATTTTTCAGAGCTCTACTGGACAGTACGTCAGTTCTTGTGAATATTCTGAGCATTCAATGTGGTTAAGATTTTCAGAAGTGTGGGCCTTTGTTTTGGTTTGAGATCAGTAGCTGCATTTCCTAACTGTGAAAGGATGGTGCTATTGATTTTCTTTGCAACTGCCTTGAGGACTCTCCCAAGTGAATATATATCGATGGCAGGTGTAACAGGGAACCCCTTCAAGACTTCTGGAGCAATATGCTTGTATACCTCCTTGTATTTCTTGGCCTTTGGTCGGGATATCTCACAAACTTTACCAAAGTCAATTAGAAACCCTTTATTTTGAGCAACTAACACATTATTGGATTTCAAATCACAGTGAAGATATCCCCTTTGGTGCATGTGGTCCAGTGCATCGGTAATGTCATAACATATACAAAGCCATGTTTCAGTGGACATTTCTGAAGCTTGATGTTCATAATGTGGATCAAACAACAACTTGAACACTGTGATGGACTTACTATTCTCACCAATAAATTCCATTATGAGGGAGAATGGTTTCTTTTCCAGCTGGATACCGAGAAGCAGTGGGATGCATCTGTGAGAGAACTTTTGCATGAATGATGCCTCTTTGTACAACATATCAACATTGTTATCAGTGTCAATCAATTGCTTTTCAACAATATTAATACTTAGTCGCTTGAATTTCCTCAAAAAGCAATTTCCAAAAACACCATTCCCAATTGAACCTGCATCAACTTCCTCCAATTCATCTTGCCTGATAATGTTAATATTTGAATTGGACATGTTCAATTGAGTTACCTGTAAAATATTTAATTTGAAACTTATTAGTAATTAAAAGTTTTGTTCTGTAGTTCAAATTAGGCTATGTTGCCTAATCTTTGCCAGCAAAGTACAATCATGACCAAATACTTGTGCAATGCAAACACTAATATCTTGTAAGCATGTGCATGAGTTATTCCTTTGTCATACACATATTCCCCCTGCCCCCTTTCAATGTTGGTGTTGTGGTTAATAGGTCTCGTCATACCATATACATTATGAGTAGATCAAAATACAGCATTGAAAGGGGCTAACCAATTTAGTTAGCAATTTTTCATTACACCTGAGCGGGAGCAACTTTTACTGTAAAGCCTTGGCGGGGAGGGGGGGGGGCACTAAGAGCGACTAAAGGCTACACAAGCTTTTTGTCGTTATCGGAAAATGTATGGCTTATAAGTTGTCATTACTCATTAGTGAATGCGTGTATACATGAAACTGTTTTTTACAGTTTCAATATTAGTTTGTAAATCTCTGAATGGTAAAACTTGCCAATACTCCAATAATACGTTTCAAAAAAAGACAAAAAAGCTTTAGTTTTGCAGAGTTAAATTCTCAAACGTGTAAGGCACTTAATAAGATGAAAGTATCACAAAATTATTTGAATAAACCACATCACATATATCGGAGCGAATGTCCTAAAGAGGGGCGATATTCCTAGGGTTTCGCCCCACCCCCCTGGGAGGCGATATTCCTAGGATATTCGCCCCTGGGGGCGATATTCCTAGGAATATCGCCACGTTTTGAGGAGGGGCGAATCTCCTGGGGGGGGGGGCGACCTTTTTAAAAATTCAATCTTGGCTCCCCAAAATTTGAGTTTGCCCCTCAAATGCCCCCCCCCCCCAAATTTGGAGGGCTGGCGCCGCCACTGGGGGGGGGTACTTTATTCAATACATGACCAAGAAAGGTTGCATATAGGTGGACTAGCTACTTTGAGAATGTCAAGGAAAGTATGTCCCATTTAATAAATATTGATTTCATTGATCACATTTTGTGTTAACTTTATTATAAAATGACTATTGTATGGATAACAAAATAGACAGATTACAGTATCTAACTGTTAATATAAATGATGCTGTATATGATTTGAAAAACTTTGATATACCTTTTTATTGCTTTCCCTCTGGTTCACTATAGTACGTAATTTTTTGTTCTTATCCACAGTCCTCTTCCAAAGTTTATAATATTTGGATGCCACGTCTCGTTGCTGGTTGGCTTCAGCCCGGATATCACAAAGGGCATTTTTTATGAGCGTCGCACGCTTCAACTCCGTTTTCTGAAGTCTTTTTCTCTTCTTTCTAGCATTGCGCATCTTCCTTTTCTCCTCGATCGTATGCCGCATAGTGATATATAACAAAATATTCGGATACCTATAGGTCTTGTTCAGAAATATACGACAGAGTGATAGCTTCGCGCGCAAACTGCAAATATTCGCGCTCCATTTTCTATATCCTTGATTTTCCCTATATGGACGTGTTTTCCATATAAGGATCATGCGTTTCTATGGTTACCTTAGCAACGCATGGAGCTTAAAATGTATTTCCAATTTAAAGGGAGTTCGTTACAAGCCATACGAATAGAATTCAAGTTTTATATCGTTGTAAAAGTGTTTGAATATATTCATGGATACATCATTCTTTCTCTATAAACTTTACATGTACTTCTTTCGATAATGGTATGGTTAAAAGTTAAGGTGAGTGTAATTTTTACATACAATTTAATACTACAGGCCTCATATATTTTATATACATATTTACAGATCTATTATCTATATATGAGATATATACCCCAGTATAAATAACAAGGCCCAAACTATACTTAAATTGTTCTCGTTTCATCTCAAGTTTATTGAATTAACTAAAGTATTAATAATAATCAACAACGACCACCAGGAAATGTTATCTAGTCGGGCTTTGGTGATAATATTATAACGAAGTGGCTATTCGTACTGGAACATGTTATTGAGCATGTTATCGAACAACAAATTATTAGATTAATTGTCTTGTAGTCTTTGTTGAGCATTTATTATAAACACTTCAGTTTTAGTCGATTTAGGTTCATCAGATATACAATGGTTATGCATGTATATATTAATATATTAGATTTGTACTATCTGATTATGTAATATGGTAATTATGATTTATGTATTACTCTTTGTTCCTTATTTTGTTAAGAATAGCTTTAGCATACTTTAGTTTGTCTCTAAGAAGTTTGGCATGTGTGCATGTTGCTATGTCCTTCTGAGTTGCAACTCTATTGTGCCTCAGGAAAAATTCTTTTTCCCATTGACCAAGCTCTTGACGAATCTGTTGTTGCTGTTTTGAAACACGTACCTCCATAACTGCAACCAGTTCCATAAACTTGGCAAGGAAGAACTTGTCAGATGGTGACTGCTTGTGTTGCTGCCTGGCTTTATCAAACTGAAGAACTTCATTTGACTGCCCAAGCACAAAGTCAACTGCTCTCCCCAACTTTGTTTTGCATAATTCTCTTGTGCTGCCAGTTTCACTGTTTTCTCCTGCTGTTGTAGAAATGCTGCATGGTGATAATACAACTGGAATGTCAACTTTTGGACAGCTTGTGGAATCTATAATGAAATTTTATGGATGATTTATAATCTTGCTGGTTATCACAATATATTTTTGGAAATGCTGTGCACACAACTTATAATACAAGGTATGTTGTTACTAATTCTTGTCATTTGTGTATATAAATGACCATGTGCATGCATATATTAGCTTTTATGTTCATGCATTCACAAATGACAGTGATAATTAAATATATGCAGTGTTAGGTGAAGCAAAAAATAAATATAAATCTAATTACTGCATATTAAATCAAAGTAATTTATGAATGCATGAATACTGAAACTTATTATAATCATCATGATTTTAAATCAGATGACCAGTAGTGCATGCATGGTCTGTATATATTTACCTGCAGTTGGCATTGCTGCAAAGCCTTTAGCATTAATACTCTCTGTAATTGTGATGACAGAGTTGAGTGTTGAAGGATTATTCAGCTCATTGCTAGCTTCACTGTCATCGAGCTCACTTGGTGGTAGATCTGAATTATCGTGGGGGTGAACATGGAAACCAACAATTTCTGTGTCAAGTAGCATTTTTTCTGTAGGGTTACATGAAGGTTGTGGTTGTTCCTTATCGTCATCAAGCTGGGTGCTTTTGCTTTTTGTTGTGTCTTCCGGTAGTAGCCTTACAATTTTCATTTGACCACTCCCATCGTCAACCCGAACAACACTTATTGGCAGAGTAACACCATTCTCTAGGCATTCTTTCCAGCACTTTGCAAGGTAGTCTTCCTCAGCTCTGAAGTTACTGGAGCGGAAGTGATGTAGTAAAGGACCTTGTGAATGAGTGCTTTCAGCCCCTTCTCCATCTAAGAATTCCACATTGCCATGTTCTTGTTGAAGCCACCAACTCCCTTGGCCAGCTAAAAGGAAATCACTAATCCGTTCAAGATGTGCTTGCCATGATCTGATGTGTTTCTCGATAAACTTGCTAGGGATAATGGTATTTCCGTATGCAGGTAGTGATGATGCAAGGTGAGAAACAGATGCTTCTTGCTTAGAATCACAAGACCCTTGAAAAATTTGCATCTCTTTCTCAGCTTGCAATCTAATGAAAATGTTCCCGATGATATGACTTGGATGGTAAGAGGATGTTGACTTTGTGATATTTGTGATGGTGTTAAAGATCCTTTCCTGTTCTTCGACATTGCATGCCTTTCCATTGATTAATCGGTGCTGTATAGCAGCATGGCTGGTGATGTTGTGGTAATAGTTGCCATACAACTTGCGGGTCGTCAATTCTTTAAGCTTAAAGCCAAATATCTCCCTGCACAAGATTGCATGGTACCATGTCATGTTGTGAAGACGTAGGACTGATTTTGGTGTTCGTTCAGCTTCATAACTGTATGCAATTCTCTGGATTTCTACTAAGGTGGACAGTAGTTCCTGGACAAGGTTTGAAGAAATTATCTGTGAGGATTGCTTTGCAAGGATAATAAGTGCACATCTGTAATCGAATGTGCGCTTTGTATCCTTGCCACCGATTGAACATTGCAATACATCCTTCACTGCAGTTGCTTCTTTCTTTGGCAAATGGAATGGAAGTTCTGTTAAAACATTCTCAATATGCTTCCCTATGTCATGCAATGGCTCAAAACTGAGTACTTCATACTTCCCACAGTTGATGGATTCAAGGGTAGATGTTGGGTTGGTATAAAGTAAAGCCGGTACTCTTTGAACGCCGTGCAGTTCCTCTGTCAAAAGCTTCTCAAGGTCTTTCTTGGTTTCCCCCTCATAAATATGCCTGGCATTCAGTTCTCTAATTAGTTCATCTTTTTTCAAATTTTGGAATGGCTTGGAAACTTTTGCCAGAGAATTTTTTCTTCCCAAGGGTCCAGAAAGCACCAGTTGTTGTCGCTCAGTCAAAGACAAGTAGTGACAGGAAAAACAAATATCCAGATCATATGCCTGTTGTGCTTTTGCACCGCATCCAGAACAGTAAAAGTTCCCTCCTTTTTGTTGACCGGATTCAAGTTGTCGAGCTGGGCTATCACCATGGAAAAAGCGCATTATATCATTTACAACATTTCCAGCATTTGTTTGCAATTTAACACTGAGATCTTCCAGGCACTCAAGACGTGTGTCAATATAAGTTAGTTGTTCAACGTCTGAACTTCCTGACCTGGCTACTATGTAGACTTCAGGGGTCTCGACTTTTGTTTGAACGTCCACTTTTTTACAGCCTGTAAGGTTTTGGTACTCTGCATTTGTATAGTGCACTGCAGGATCATAAAGGGATGACACCATAAATACCAAATGACCATGGTTTGCAATTGTGGAAAGATCATGCCAAATCTTAATATGCCTTGTCCTTTCAATGTCTTTCAGCCTATTCTGCATTGATTTTAAACTTTCTCCTTCATTGTACTCATCGATTGCCTTCAGCAATGTTGTCACACTTTCATGAGTCATTATGCCATATTCGTCATCAGCACGATGTCGCATGAATTTCTCTTGGTTTTTCAGAGTTCTTTCCCTAATTTCAATCAAGGGCTGCTTCCGTCCTTCCACCACAAACTCGGTTTTAACAATCTCCCCATTGTCATTTAATACCATCTTTTCATACTGAAATTAAAATAAATAATTATGTAGATTGAAGAAATTTGGTTTCAATAAAGTAAATAATTATAGACAAGTATTTATTTGCTTTCCTGCACATCTGAATTACTTATAAGCAGCGAGTGGTAATTTGACTTAAATATAATAATTCTGAGTAATGATTGATCAATTGTTAATTTTTGTAAGCCTCCTATCTGCATAACTTAGTTGATCACCAGTTCTATACTGTCCGGGACGGCTAAGTTTAATGTTGATTATTCATTACTGACATTGATACTAGCTACAGTATTAGTAAATTTTATATAATATAGTTGTAACATATGTGTGCAGTGTAGATAAGTGCTCACACAATTAAACTGAAATAATGAACAGTAAAGTCAGTGCTTAATAAAAGAAAATATTGTGGCTGTTACCTTTCTTGGTGCAATTTGCTGTCCAACAGAATATTCCCCTGACAAGATTTTTCCTCTCAACTCAGCCTTCACACTGTCAATAGTTTGTGGAGTTGCAACTGTGATCTCTCCCCCTTGTCCCCTGAGTTTCTTTCTCCGGATTCTCTCAGAATTTCCATCATGTTTTCGCTTAAACCTGGTAATATTGATTCCCTCTGACTTTAACCATTCTTGGGCTATTTGACCCCCATTCTTGGCTAGTTCCCCTTTTGTGTTCTGTATGTTGTGTCTTCGAGCAAGGTCTGACCAGTTAACAACCATGCCATCAGGATAACTTTCCACCTCTTCTTTGATCTTCTCTCTCTCAAATATTTTATTATCCAGCTTTCCAACAGGATTTCTCTTTTTTGTTGTCGTGTTTATCTCGTTTCGTTGTCTTGAAGCTTCCTTACTTTCAAATGCCATGGCAAGGCGCGATCGCTGTGCAGCTGCCAAAGATTGGCGATTTCCATAATACCTAGTAAATAAGTAAATTGAACATTAATTTTATGTGGGCTAGACTGTGGGGAGGCAACTAGTAAAGTGATAATAGTTGTAATATTTTTACAGACCTAGCAGGAATTAATTTACTGGGGTTCCGGGGTGGGGGGCGGTGTTGTTCTCCACTACCCTTGGCAAAGGGGGCCTATTTCATTAATAAATCCACTTAAATTTCAGTTTAGATTTGGCAATATCCTGTCTCCATTATCACAATAATAATGCCCTTGAACTCTGCCAGAGGCAATATTTCCATGTTCTCTGGAACACTCCTGGATGTGCACCACTAACCCTAACCTGCCCCCAAGGGCCCCCTTCCCCAACAGGCAACAGTGCTCAGATTTGGCAGGATCCATCCTTGAGCCTGACTGCATGCATTCATTTGTATCTTAGCCTTATGCAAAATAGCTTGTATATATTATATACCTTAGTTTTTCACCTTATTATTGTCAGGAATTTTGCTTTAGTACTTTTAATTGTGTTAATGATAATGCAAACTTACTAATTAAATAAAATTATAGTTTAATAAAGATACCTCATTACAGATGTATTCTTCCAGTGTTCTTCTGTTGTCTTCTTCGCCTGTCGTAATTGTTTACGCCTGTCTCTTTTTTTTTCAGCTGGATTCTTCTTGCTTTGAATGTTTAACGAGGGAATTGTTGTCGTCAGGGCTTTTTCTAATGGTACGTTAAAAACACGCTGAAACGCAGGATTGATCTCGTTGTAGATCTTTTGAGCGCCATCTTGATACTCTCGTCGTGTGCAATTGACTTTGACTGCTTTTCGACTCGTATTGGCTGCGATATTCTGAGCCACAATCACTGGATTTTCTTTGAGACATCCTTGGAATTTCTTTGATTGCACTGGAAAGAACGACTGGTAGACTGAATATCTGTGGAAACAGCCACGACAGTCCATCAAGCTATGCTCAGCCTTCTGTTCGACCGATAGTGCCTTCCAGTTATCAGCCAAGAATGCTTCAAGGTATTGCTCACGTTCTTTCTTTTTCCTTGGATTCCAAGTAGTGAATTTTTTACGCAAGTCTGGCAGTTTTCTTTGAAGCGTTTTAAAGTCAACCGAGAATTTTTTGTTGGTAAACATTAGACCGAAACGTTCATGGATGATTTGCACACTACGTACGCGATGCTGATATGGTGTTTCATTGTCGTTGCGTTTTATCTTCTCCGTAACATCTTTTGTGAAGCGCCAAATAGCAGCTTTAGCGAATCCACATGTGTGTGGATGTACAAGACTTATTACCATGATAATTATGTTGGAAACTTTGCAAATATTATTGATTGCGCAAATCGAGAAGCTACTCTACCGAAGCAAATTTTGAATCTGGCGCCTAAATACAAGTCATGCGCGCGTCATTGTGACAGGCTTATCTATAATCTGCGCTCAGATATGGATCAAATTCCTTTTTCTGGAGAGCCTTGGAATATTTTTAACCTGGGTATGCTAATGCTATTAAGTATAAATTAATATCACATCACTACATTTTATAAAGACGATCATATTGACGTTAAGTCAACTTAGTTATGTAAAAATGCTTGCCAGATTTCAAACGCGCGTCTCTTATTGAGTTATATAATGCTTTTACTAAGATACCGCATCTAACATTATCGATTTGAACGATGTTTAGAACCTAATTTTGCTGAAAATGTACAGTTTATCTGGTCTGGTTATTATGGTCGCCATTTTGAGCGTCTTGCGTTGTCATAGTAATTCGTTATACCGCTGCATCAGTAAACCAAGGCTCAATCGACAAAAATGGCGGTCGCTTTGCGATGTATTTAGTTGCAAATATATATATTCATTGGCTTTGCAGGAGAGGTTTTTATTATCAACCATTAAAGGCTTAGGCGCTAATTATCTACAAAATACGTCCAACTTCTTGAGAAATACCGTAAACCGAAAACATTTTGACTAGAAGTAGCTTTAATTAACGAAAATATGCAAGTAGAAACGCGTGTTTTGACTTTGGATCCATTTTACGCAACAATAACACAACATTTTCACTGATACAAGTTTGAATATGTTAGAAGAGTTCCTTGGCAATCTATTTGTAATTGAATGTTTCAGTGAGAACCCGCTAAATCATTCCCTGCAAAGCGGTTGAAAAAGTTCCATGTTTTCGTTGCTATTTTTAGACCAACAACTGGTCACGTGACACGTTTTTTAAAATTTTGGGTTGGTTAAAAAAATTCTAAAATTATATTGAGTAGCATTAACGCCCAAAACCCTGTCAATTCATCTTAAAATCGTTGTAAATAATTTTTCTTTTATTTTTCATGAATTAATGCTCACTGTGAAACCTGACCCAGTCATTAACGCACCTGAGTATGACAAAAAGCAAAGATATTATTTTCCTATTTTCAGGTAGTTGTATATATAACCTTGGCCTTGTAGCTCAGTTGGCAGAGCATTGGACTAGTATCCCAAAGGTCACAGGTTTGATTCCTAAATTTTAGCCTGCCCGGTGTGGATATACACTCAGAGTAACATCAAAAACATATTCACCAGAGTACATAGCACCACCAAAACACACAAAATATCATATCATAGAACACATTGGTATCGAAGGTGCTAGACTTAGTTTCAAAATACCACACACTCAAACAGACTTGGCCCATAGCTCAGTTGGCAGAGCATTTGACTAGTATCCCAAAGGTTGCGTGTTCGATTTCCACCGTGGTCAGGCTAACTTTTCAGCCTGTCTGGTGTGGATATACACTCAGATAACATCAAAAACATTATATTCACCTGAGTACTTAGCACCAAAACACACACAAAATAACCTACTCTTCTCAGCATTTATGTCCTTCAGGTAGTTAAATCACCTAGCTACTATAGCCAGCAATATATTTTGACTCTACTGAGTACTGGCACATCCCACCAATGAACTACTGAAGGCATTGTTCATTAAACTGATATGGCTCAGTGGCCCATTTCACAGTTTTACTTCGCATTTGGCAGTACACTTTCCAGCCTTCGAACTAAAATTTCCTTGTTACCGGAGGTGGATAGGCCTTTTTCCCTCAGGGCCGCCTTCAACTCTGTAACACTCATACTTTTTAATCGAGTCTTTATAAGTGAGTGAGAAGGTCTAGTGCTCTCAGTAGCAAGAGTCTGAGAACGATGGACAATATCAGTGTGTGCTTTCAAATTGGTCACATCAGAAAAGCGTTCATTGCATTTACTGCAAATGATTGGCTTAAATAAGAAAATAACTTCATCAAATAACTTCTTCTCTTTAGCACATTTAATTACAATAGTTTTAGCAGCTTTACAAACCCCACACTGCTCATCCACAATATCTAATTTAGTTCTTCCACAAGCACAATAATCGACCCTGCTGCAGTGTGGTGGTGTACGTGACTTAAAATGAGAAATATATGATGGAGGTGCAGGTTGGTGTTCAGGAAGATAGAATGACCTAACATAATTTGAGTGCAAAACTTGCCACCACTTGCCATTACCCACACTACTCGTCCACAATATCTAATTTAGTTCTTCCACAAGCACAATAATCGACCCTGCTGCAGTGTGGTGGTGTATGTGACTTAAAATGAGAAATATATAATGGAGGTGCAGGTTGGTGTTCAGGAAGATAGAATGACCTAACATAATTTGAGTGCAAAACTTGCCCACCACTTGCCATTAGTGCTACTTTTATTTGACCTGTTGGTTAAAGAAAGATCACCTTTAATACCAGCATGTTTGATTCCTTCGCTTGAAGTGACAAAATACCATAACCAACATGGTATTCTTCATACAATTTTCTGGCATGATAAGGTATGGCATGCCCCACTGTCCAGACAGTAACTTTAATACTTGTGGGGGAAAAAGAACAAGAATATTAAAATAAAGCTGACAAAATTCAGTCAGTTGATCAACTTCTCCAATGGAACTTAAATTAATTTTGTTAAACAATCTGCTGGCATAAATATTCCACTGCTTTTGAAAGTGCCAATCGTTTGGTATTCTCTAAAGGGCTTTCTTCATCATATTGCAAGGCATCAACAAGTCTGTAGCCATGCCTAGAAAGACTCGCAGCTTGACTACCTATCAATCAAGTTGGCAATTTGTTTGACCTTTTAGCTTCGACACTGTAATGCTCCTTAATTTTACATGCTCTAAGTATGCCAGACCGCATCCATACACTTTGTCTGCAGATGACTCTAGTGTGGCAGCCTTACTTTATACGCTCTGGTATAGCAATCTCAGACAAAGTTAATAATGTGTCTTCTGAGATAGAATTATTTAAATCAGCTGGGTTTGTAATCTGATCCAAAGTTTCCAAATGATTACTATGTTCAAGACCAACAGGAGCTGATAATATTTTAATGAACTGCTGGAAAATGTTACGCTTCACACATTCGCAGTAATTTAAATCTAATAAACGCTGCCATGCATTAATTTCACAATGCAGTGAATCTGGTCGAACTCTTTCTGCAAACACCCCAATTCTAGCCATTTTCAGCCAAAAAAGCAAGCATTTTCTCATGAGGAGTACTGCTTTTAATATTAGTAGCTAGAGAACTAATAAGAACATTTACCTTCTTTGTATGCTGAGCACGCAGGTCGTTTGTGTACGGTGTCCAAGTATCATTGTGATCGAGACCAATTGTGCCACCTAGAATACACATATTATTTTTGTGCACATTTGCATAGGGACAAGGGTGTGTAGCTGCCTGGTTCAGTTCATTGCAGGCCAACTTTGCCAGCTCATGTCAGCACTTGGCTGAAACTCAACTGTGCAGTCCTTCCCACAAACTGTGAAAACACTGGACTCAAGTAGCTGCATCTCATCAGTATGTTGTCTCCAAAGAAGCTCAAGCATTGCATGCTTTTCGCCAAGGCTGACACAATGAAGTAGGTACTGAAATTCCCTACTTCTAACCCTTTCCCCAAAATTCCACAATGTTATACTGCATAATAAGTTCTTTGAATGTTTGCATGGCGATAAAATATAATTGTTTTTGTTTGTGGAAACACCGCGTAAATTTATTACTGCAAAGCTTTCGATCCGTAAGCCCGGATCTTCATCAGTGCTAATAATATGTGACTTGTTTAATTCACATGCTCTTTTTATAAAGAAAGAAAAAAAAAGAGCGTGTGAATTAAACAAGTCACATATTATTAGCACTGATGAAGATCCGGGCTTACGGATCGAAAGCTTTGCAGTAATAAATTTACATGGTGTTTCCACAAACAAAAACAGTTATACTGGCTATTGACATTGTTTCAGGGGCACCATCATCAGAAAACTGGAAAATGAAATGATTGGTATTTTCATTGAACCAAATAAGTCGCCGAAAAAGATGTGGCAATCATAAATGCAAATCAATAATCATGAATACAAACAAGGCCAGTGATGGTCCTAGTGACCCCAGGTGCATTTGGAATTTGACTAATACTACCTACATCTAATGATTTTACAAATTTATCAATTTTGTCATCAGACACTCGACTAAGCGACAACTCAACATCTACCCCTAAGCACTTCATATTTCATGGTAACCATACTTCATCATCACGATCAAACACAGAAGACTGTGTTTTACATATTAAATTAAATTTACGTCGAGACAAAAAATTCTGGTACTTAAAAGCAAATGCTTGATTTAGGGAATCCTTGGACTGCTTATGATTGTTCATGGCTTTGTTGATTACCCCTTGTAAGTATTTCCCCCTTTTATACTTACTAATCAAGCCATCAATAAGTTCTTTGTCTGCATGGGCTGTTACAAAATCCCAAGCTCCAAGTACTGCTGCAACCTCGCCACCATGGATGTATTCACGTACATTCTTGGTCTCTTGTCGTCATCTGTACCAGGCACTGGAACAACGGTCACTGATCATATCAATGGTAGTTTTGGTATTTTGTCTGTGTGTACGAGAATACCCTTTCTGGTCCATTAAGGTTTTTAATTTTGCATATTCCTGTGAAATATTCTGCAAGTGTTGCTCAATTTCAGCAACTTCTCCATCAACTTCCTCTCGTTGTTCGATAGATGCATTTAAATCATCATCTAAATTAAAATTATGGAACTAATTATTTCATTTTACATGCATGCACTGTGTGTAAAAATTTAAATCCATGAACTTAATTGGATTTATATAATTAAGTATGCTATATATGCATGACTAGAGACAGACCGACAAAAATAACAAAACCCCCAATTTATAAATATGATCTTGATACTTGCTGATAAATTAGGAGCTCCAGATATAATTTGCTGTGTCGTGCATGTATATTGAATTTATCTCGGCTAATGGCAGACAATTTTACTTCTCAAAGGTAAAATGCAGCCCGGTATAATTGGTTAGCTGGACACAATAGCAACACTAAAACACAAAAACAACAATTTATGCCTTTACAATTTATGCTGTTTATACAGGACAGGTAACAGGCTTCAAAGAAAGATCCCGTCTTGTACTAGAATGTATAGTAAAAATTCCTACAGGTGTGTATCTTGCTTGCAACAGCTGAGATCTCTCTTACCGAGATGAGTTTTTCCTCATATAAACACACACAAGCGGGCTAGCCCGGTTGCCACCATTCAAAACAACTATAATTAGAACAAAATTGTACCGGCAAGCAGGATGACTTTTCTCAGATACACACAGGCTAAATTAATCCTGCTCACCGGGCCGTCTCACTGAACGGGGTCCCATATAAACAGCACCTTATAGACTTAATAGTTGAGGAATTTTGTTAGTATTTTAACAAGCATTGCAACAATAAAAAATATATAGACTCCAGCAATAAAGAATATCATATACACTCCACTACACAATTACTGTAGTATAAAGTTTGATGACTATATATACTATGTGCAAATTTAAACTGGGTTCCAATACTAAATCTAATATTCCATCTGTTTTATAATATCATCCGTAGTAGTTAGATTACGCTTTATGGCCTTTAGGTCATATTGAGCGCTCTACAGGAAGAGCCATGCCGCTTACGCATTGCGCACGCTCACTGCTTGCAGTTTGAGCGCCCTGGCATGGTTTTGATGTCCCACAATCGTGAGGCATCAAAGGTAACTGTAAATAGCAGTTACTTTCATCCTGCTCATCAGCACTACACTGATGAGGCCCATAAGGCCGAAACGGTACCATCTGTAGTTATATATATATATATATAGTCCCAGCTGAGTCTGACTTAAAGTTACTATAAATACTTGGTCTTGATAGTTGGTACAGTACAAAAGGGCAAGCATAAATATTCAATGTATTGGCATAAAAAGTTGCATATCAAAATTTTATAATACTTACTGGCATCATTGACTCTTTCTTGAACGGATATCTCATGTAAATCCAACTCTTCGCGTTGTTTAGCCAGATTTTCCTGCGAAATTTTGACTTCCGCTTCTTTCGTATTCACTTCGGGTGACTTGTGTGTCAAGTCGCCTTGGTTTTCTCTGAGTTTAAAATATGGAGAATCTTCCCAATCAGTTTTGTGGTTGTCCCTTCTTGTTGCATGTTCCAGGATGACCTTTATTTCGGTCACACAATTTGGTTTTAGAGCAAAATACTTTTGAGCTAAAATAAAACACAGCGAGTGGTGAAGCAACAATATGGCGAGTCACGAATATGCTAATAAATGCAAATGATTTTGCCGAAGGATACTTTGTCCTCGCCTTTCTTCGTTACTGCAAGCCATTAGAAGTTCTTCAGTAAATGATATTCTTCAACTTTTATTTGGGAAGTGTCTCCAAATTTACGTTTGAAAAATACAAGGAAAAATGCGGAATTTTCAGCTATTTCTGCTAACAATTCTGGCAATGCTATAAATCCAGGGGGGGGGGGGATTTCAAAGGGAGATTGTAGGGCATACACGTGTGGTGCTGTGGGACCCCTAGACGGTAGAATTTGTCCATGTGGGCATGATATCCTTCGACCGGAATACAAACATACATGCCCATAATAACACCATTATTTACCGCTTTGCATTTCTCCTGTGACTAATTTGTGCTGCAATATCTCTGAACTGTTCAAGGAAGTATTAATTGGGCAAGTATTGTTTCAAAAATGTTTTAAAATAAATAGATGGGGTATTTTAACAGCGCCAACAATCACAGCTAGGAGACCGGAAACTAACAACACTCGCAATTTGACTCCGGGAGGAAACTGCATAGCAACCAACCATCGTGTTATGCCAAATTGCTTACAAAAGAATTAAAAAGTCTTGACAAAATGAAGTTGAATTTTAAAGAAGCATAATATAAATAAATAATCACATGGGCAAGTCATGCAATTAATGATCAACACTACTTGTGATATTTGACAAATGTGCTAAATTGGACTCACCTTGGGGGTGATTGTGGAGTACTGGGCAGGACGAATTGGCTGGCATAAAAGGCACATCGATATGGTTCATCACCTTCAACCAACATATTGAGTGCTGGTGGTCGTTTTTGCATAAAAACTGGAGCAACTGGTGGATTAATGTCTTTAAAGATCTGATTGGAACATGCGACTATGTTTTGTATTCAACTCAATTTTCACACTGGAGCACTGGAAAGTGTTTGCAATAAACTTTAATAACTGTACTTTCTCAATTTATATACACCTCATTCTGTATTAATTCAACATGTGCTCCGCCCCTGATGCTTTCTCATTTACATTATCTTACAGTGATATGCAGAAAGAATGTCTGTAGTATAGACCCTTTGCACTGACATCACAAATCCTTAGAGTGTCCTCCAGATGCTCTCTAACAACAGTTGCTATGCAATTGTTCAAAGGCCAATATGGCTACCAAAAACAAAAACAAAGGTTTTCTGCTGGGATATTTCAATTCTAGAAATACATGCATGCAGCAACCCCTCGCATGTATTTTCCAAACATTGATTTAACATGAAGTATTAGTAATTGATTAACACTGAACCTGTGACTGAACGCAGGGTCGTGTTTACGTCAGTGTTGCCATGGCAACACGATAAATTTAATTTTTATTATATTTTTTGTACAACATGCTAAAAATAGTTGAAAGATTATTGCTTTTAACTATATAACAATGAATTTCCGAAATATGTACTGTAGGTATGTTGTTCTGCATTTTGTAAGCTTTGATTTAATGTAAAATTTAACGTGAATCGCTTCGTAAAATGTTTCGAAATGTTAATTTTAATATTAAACTTTTTCCGATATAAAACTGTACGGGTTCTTATATAGTTTATAAAACAAAATAAGTTCTAACAAAATGAGTAATTTCAGTTCGGTTTTCAAATGAATTTGCGCTCCTTTACATTTTACCTTTTATTCTTAAATTAAACAGGGTAATTTAGCAGACTTTATTACAGCTTCGTTGAAAAGGAAAGCAGTGCATGTTTTACGCAATAAATTAAAGCAACAAAATTCATAAACATTAAACATTCAAAGCAAACTTGCCCTATATTCCACGATTTTCCACAGTAAATCAACTCTTCTCACTTCAAACACAAATTGCTTCAAAGCCCACTGTGTGAAACATGATTTTCCAGGTATGTGCTTTTGAAAATTGAAATCTTGCTTATCCCACTCCTGGCAAACAGCCATATTTTTGAGATCATTGAGGATGACCACCCACGGTTGGTGACCGACGCCCGCACTCATTGATTAACTTTAGACTTGGCTAATGCTTTCCTTTCCCCGGTGTAAATAGCCAGGGGGAATTAGTACCCTCGCACAGCGCTTCGTGCCGTCGGCTCGGGGACAATTCAGTGTACACAAAGTAAGGAATGGTATATGTAGCGAAATTCGCTTACTCGAATGGAGAAGACCCGAAATACCAAAAAGTCTGTGGGAAGACCACATTAATATTTCGCCTTTGGTCACTTATACGGATGTAGGTATGTAGCTACTGCTTTCGCAAAGCCCGTACAGCCAAGAGCAGTTAAAAAATTATAAAAATTTGGATTGCTATCAAAACTTTGTGAACGGGTGGGTAAGAGAAGTATTGGGAAGGAAAATTGGCGAGCATTGCCTAATGATTGCAAAGGTAGGAATTAAATAAACTGTATCTTTTGTGTCAAATATTAAACTTTGCACTTACAATTATGAATTATTGATAAGATTTTTTATTTTATTTTCGTTGGAGTTGCTTAATTTTTTTGTTCTTTTTCTTCACAAGTAGCTGTAATTTTTTTATTTTTGTGGAGGGCGACATGGCAGGCTTGAAAACTTTACACGAAGGGACCTCTCCACTTGAATAAAAAAATGACGCCAGTGAAGCCAAAGGAGCTATAATATTGATGTCGCTTTCACTAGCAAACAGCCGTTTTCGTGCTGGAATTTTGTGTGCTGTTTGCTCAGTCTGAGTAGGAACCCAGCACAAAATCATTTTCAAGGAAATGGTTTCTGCAGAGAACTGATGTTTTTGATGGATACCAATTGTTTCTCCCAACAGCTGCAACCCATTCGCTCAAGAGAATTCTTCATTATGACAAGGAAACCTGTTAAAAATTATAAACCAAGAAACCATTCTGTTTTAAACATACAGAACCGATAACATATTATAGCCAAATAGTTCAATACTTCAATCTTTGCTGTATCGTTCACTGCCAACTATTATATGTATTTCTATGTATGACAGTGACTATAACAGTAAGTAAAAAATATGAAGAATGTTTATTCGTAAAAAAAAACTCCATAAAACATTGATACTATTAAAAATATCCTTTAAATGTAAACTTGTTTCTGCAATTGTTTATGTAGTATTAACTTATGCAGAACATAAGCGCCGGAAGCGCTAAAGTGGAAACCGTTGTTTTGACTTTCCGACTCACCTGAAAAACGACTGCTGAACTTCCGCATTCTCTTTTTCCTCCTTTTTGTATCTTTCTTTACATTTGTAAGCAGAGCAAGAATTAGGCATCTTTGGCCTTTACATAGCAATTATACAGAATAACAGAAGTAAGAAAAGTTTATAGTTTTTTTTCCATTTGTCTAGTTAACCCATTGAGTCGCATTGCACCCTACTTTATTATTTTACTCTGTTATCTTATATAACTATATAAATTTATAAAATAAGAAAGAATGGCAGTTACAGTTTATTCATATTATACCGGGTGTCCCAAAAAAAAAGTACTCCGGTTTGATTATTAATAATTTCAAAGCGAGTGAAGCAATTAGAATCAAATAACTTTCGTTAAAAACAGGAAATGCTTTCTTAGATTTTGATATATTAGATGTAAATTTTCGCACATTATTTACTGAGATACTAACATTTGAATTTATGCATGTTTTTGATCGATTTTTTAAATACCCAAAAACAGGTTAAGGAGTAATACATTTTCTTGAATGGCCTATTCATATTTTGAGTAGTCACAAATGAACAAAACAAAGTTGACTGTTTCTAAGTTTGAATAGGATGAATATGGTTTAAGTACTGTATTATGGTTTAAGTACTGTTTAATAAACGGCGAGTTTATTAAACGGCTTCAAACACGACTATACAAATGCAATATATATACCGCCTTATTAGTATTCTTTATATAAAGAATACTAATGAGGACACGACAACAATAGATACTGCCTTATTAGTATTCTTTATATAAAGAATACTAATGAGGACACGACAACAATAGATACTGCCTTATTCAGTATTCCTTATATAAAGAATACTAATTAGGAGAGTTTTATCAGGTTTAAAGCCACTGCACGTGACATATTATAGTTGACATGATTAGTTTTATCAGGTTTAAAGCCACTGCACGTGACATATTATAGTTGACATGATTTGCCAATAAGCTTATGAATTATTAATGAGTGTTTGAAGTACTAATAAACATTTTATGAAGTTTCACCAATTTACTCATAATAATACATCTTTAAGTTGAGCAGCACTTGGTTAATATTTGATAAGCCTTTCTTGCTAAGCCACTTGCCTTTCGTTTAGTACTGCATGAACTCTTGCAATCACAACAGCTTGTCTATACGTGTATTGAATGAATTAAACTGGTTACATCAAATATTAGTTTACAAATTAAACTGGTTGATAAGCCGTTTTTCGCAAATTTTTGACACATCCAGAAATATACTATCAAATTTTAACATTAATATCTCGGTCAGTTTTTTTATAAATATACAACTGTAATATATCAAAATCTAAGTTAGCCCTTCATCTATCTAATAAAATATATTTGAGTGTAATAGCTTCACTCGCTTCAGAGTTATTTTTTTTGGGACACCCGGTAGCATTTGTAAATTCTGAACTCTGATTGGCTAAGAGCTGTGCTGATATATGTCAACACGGAAACGTCGGAAAATTTATTTCTTTACATTTCTTTCTTTACATTTCTTTGTGCTATATTTTAAAACGGCAATTGCTAGATAGTATACTTCAAAATAAGGTTTCCGTTTTTATATCAATTTTTAAAATAAGTTAGGGTTAGTTTGGGGTGGTGTTAGGTTAGGGTTAAGGTTAGTATAAAACTGAAACCTTATTTTGAAGCATACTTTCTAACAATCACCATTATAAACAAATATAAAACATTTTTTCGTATTGATATATGGTTATATCAACACTCGTGGAAATTGTGAAAACTCAACAATTTCTCATTTTCCCAATTTCCACTCGTGTTGATATAACTGTATATCAACACGGGAAATGTTTTATATTTGTTAATTATGATATCACTGGTTGCGTTTGAGATGGCAGCAAATAGGAGAAAGTCTAATATGATATGAATAAACTGAAAAAGCCATTTGTCACTATTTTGAACATACTCTGAAGTGATGGAATTAAAAATAGGGGCAAAATTTAATTTCATAAACACTTTAATCATTTACATGATTTTATTGGTAGATTGGACGAAGCATTGGTGCGAAAGCTTGCCATTCGATGTTTGCGGAGAGGCATTGGTAGCATGGAGTACATTGATACATTATTAATTATGGAAGATGATTTGGATGAGGATCAGGAGGATGGTGATCTTAGTGAGTTTGGCAAATCATCAATGACAGGGGATGACAACAATAACCCACCTGAGTAAGGCTCATCCAGGGAACCCACAGAGGAGTCCACAAATAATAGTACACCAGATTGGTGTGTTAGTGGCAGATGTAGACCAATGCCCCAGGAAGTCGAAAACAAGTGCTGCAAATTAAAAAATGCATAACACTTCACATTTCACCAAGTTGTGTCTTGATCCTGATGTTCTGGCGTTATGTATCAGAAATAGAGCGGACATAAGAAATGACCACAAGGACAATAGCATGAGGGCTTTCCAAAAAGCTGCTTACAGGCAATTCATTCTTGCATGCCATGGTCATCTGGGTAAGAGGAACAGACTGGTCTGCCCTTCATGTGTTGTATTAAAAATAAGGGAACGTTTTCCATCTGTCACTGGAATTTATATGGGTTTAGGGAACACTGATATTTTTGTATAACTTCATTTTGTAGCATATATCTAAATATATTTGTAAGTGCAATAACAGCTGATATATGTACAGTATAAAAAGGCAATGAACTGGTATCTGACTATTCTTTGACGAATCTGCTGCTCCTCTCAACAATTTACTTTGTAGATGGTGGTGGTATGTGGGCAATAGTACTGGAATTTTTATGGGGTATAAGGAACACTAGTAACATTTTTTGAACATACTAGCACACATAGCACATAAAGATTTATTATATTTAATCCATTAAGCTGCAGAGCTTCCCCATTGACAAGTAAAATCGTCTGGCATTAGACAAGTAAAAAAGCCTAGTGTTAGACAAGTAAAAAAAAATAAGTAGGGCACACTGGGCTCAATGGGTTAAATAATTAGAGTCATTGTCAGATTTTTTGGTTGACCATTAAGCTGCAGAGGTTCTCTATTGACGTGTAAAATTGTCTGGCATTAGGCAACTAAAAAAAATAAGTAGGACACACTGCCCACATTGCAGCTCAATGGGTTAATTTAAACTGTTATTCAATCTTAATGCCATTTAGAAATTGTTTATTTTTCAAATCTGCTTCTTCGGGCAGCAATTTCCTTTGTGGATGGTGGTGGGATGTGAGCAATGGTCGGGGAAACAAGTGCTGGATCACTCTTGTTCAGATCAACTGCTTGTGTAACGCCATCGAATCAAAAGCTCTTCTTAGCATTTTGGATAGTAACACTCGGATGTAGTCATACCCTTTCAAACATTTGATTTTTTTAATATCCCATTGCCTGATTCTCTGGTTATATTTCCCTGTCACCATATCCTCACCTGACTGTGCTTTCATTTGTGGAAGGCCAAGATGGTAATTCCAATCTATGGCTACTAGTTGTCGTCTTGCTTTGTATGCTTAATTTATAGCTAAAAATTGCTAATTGTAAACATTTCCTTTTGGTTAACTCATTAAGCGGCAAGCTGTTACAATGTTTCTACCCGCCTAAGGCGCAAGTAATATGGCGAATTTGTGATTGAATTCAAGAGCTTTCACCAAAATGGCAGTATCTCAGAAACAGTTGCATAAGAAAATCTGATCTTTTCAACCAAACATTAGTGATATATGATTGGCCAAATTTAGTTTAAATGACTTTGCATGTATTTTTATTTGTAAAGCAGTGACACTTTGTTTTTCATTGTCACTCATCACCTAAAGGGGCAATATCTCCATAAATTTATATAAAAACCAAAAAAAAATAATTTACTAAATTAGTACATATCTATATTATAACCAATTTTCATCTTTTGGGATACAAATTAGAAAACGATCAAAAATTATAAAAAATACTCATTTGCTTTTTTTGGGCAAGATATTTACAACATGAAATTTAGAACAGTAACTAAGTGTTCAAATTCAACAAAATGTGCAAGCCAAAACACAGTGCATGTTCACCTTTGGAGTTTTTAATTACCTCAAATATATTTAAAATTATAAATTGCAGTGACAAAACCAAAAGTTATTCACTTCTTTACTCAAAGCACTGAAAAACACCATAAAGAGAAAAAAATTTTAAACATACATCAGGTAAGTCTTTTAGCTCAATTTTCTCATGTTTCTGTTTGGAAAGAAACGGTTTTTAGCCAAAATTATTTTGCGCGCCAATGTAGGTTGCTATAAAATGTCAGACACTTGTTTTCTTTTGAAGTCTGGCTCTAAAAAAACAATCGCTTTTTTAGTTTGAAATAAGCTTTCATAAGGACTAATTGTGTAGAATATCTGTATGCTCAAATGAAAAAGATAACCTAATATTCAGGTATTCAACATAGCTATAAAAGGGTGAAATAAGGACTTTCATCTTTGGTTGTTTGTCAGACATGAGAAACCACATTAGTGCCATTTTGTCGTGTGTGATATCTTATAAAATAGACACATCAAAACCATATACTTTTAGTTCAGAAAATAACAAAGTTTCCCATAGACATTATTAAAAATGTTCTAGTGAAGCGATTTCATGATAAATAAGTGAGCTATGGGCCCAAAATAACTGCTAAACTATGTTTTTGTTAGGACTTCAATTTCATGGCTTCCCGCAAAGGAAGCCATTTCAGAGAGAAGCGGCATTTTGCAAGCAACCGTTCCTTTTCCTTCTGATTCAACATGTAGTTACTAGAAAATGAGGTTGCATCAACATTATTATCTGCTTTATCAATTTAAAGTTTTATGGGGATATAAAACTCAATAGAAAAAACGTTTTAAAAGCTTTAGGACTGAAGTGCAGACTTTTTGAAAATTCGCACGTGGCAAGCAAGCGCACTAATTCAATACATTTATTTTAAACCACAATATGTCTGAAACGAGTTGTCGTTTTAAGACTAAATTGATGAAAATAGATATAACAGTGATTTTGGAATATCCTACTTACTTAGTGTAATTTAGTACTCAAAATATTCTTGCCAAAAAGGGCGCGTACGCACACAGTAATTTAATCTGGTGTCGTTTGAAACATACTTTAGCTAAAATAACAACTTGAACAAGAAGACCAACAATGGGGTTACGAAAACAGTCGAAATTGTGCCCAAATTTACATAAACAGTTCATCTAAAAAGATAACTTTAAACTAGATTTAACCAACTTTAATGTGGTCGAATTTTGTGAATGTTTGATTGCATATTTCTACTAAAAAATACCTTTTAAAATATCGTATCTGCTCACTTGAGTTCCATGTTCATCTTTCTTGTGATTTCCGACTTCTATTTTTAATAAAGTTTGGAGAAATCCTCATCTTTTTGGCTGAAAATCTTGCGGATGGTTCACAGAAGAACTTGGCCCCAAAACGTCAATACATTCACTTTCCTTTGTAGATGTAGATGATTCAAAAACCTCTTCTTTCTTCGCTGTAGATGATTCAAAAACCTCTTCTTTCTTCGCTTTTAAAACTTGCTGTAAAACCCTTCTTTGCAACAGTATCGCCATTGTTCATTATTTTTGAAAAACTAAGGTTTTAAACTTGAAACACTTTGCGAGTTTTTGGCCGATTTTCTTGCATGATACACCGTTGAAAAGCTCGAATTTCACGTTCTATTTTCGTATCCGTTGCTAGGCAACCCAATAAACACGTGCTCAAATATCATGCCCGCAAGTTAAGGAGTCTTGTTAGGGCGCATTGCTGGTTACCCCCTTGCCAATCTCAGGGCGCATTCAGGCTCATTGCCGCTTAATGAGTTAACCAAAACATTTTATTGCACCGAGTATATGCAAAACAAAGTCAGATAATTTTAAGTTTACCAAGTGTTGTACCTTTTATGAAATATATTGCATGATGAATAACGATTGTTTTGTGTAACAAGTTTTACTATAACTGACATTTTTTTTTCACACCAAAAAGACCGAAACCAAGACAACATGAAATTGTTTGAGCCACACTACTGTAATTTCAAACAGGAAAAACTTACATGGAAGGTGTTTGCTTTGGGGTGTAAACCAAACCAAGACTGTTCGCGCACTCAATGCCACCAGTATTTTTGGTACAAGTGAACACATGCCAGTGATAATCTGTAATACAGCAGTTGTGAAGTGGGTGGACATCATGTATTTAACCTTACCTAAAACGGGTGGAATACTTGAAACTGCCAGGTAGGTCGGGATTTAAAATGACTTTTTGCAGCTCATTAAGAGCGAAGGTCCACTAATATCGAGCATCAGCCGGTCACGCTCAAAGTTTCGATTTTGCTCATTTTTGGTTTGCAGGAAGGCATTACCAAGTAAACAAACGTGATGTAGTTTGTTTTTCAAAAAACCGCTAAAATTCTGAGAAATCCGAGAAAAACGATTCAACTGTCGGCGGCCTAAAAAATATGCAAATTTTCAATTGGATCGAACAGGTTAAAAAACAACTAACGCATGCAGAATTGGAAAAGATTTGAAAACTGTACGTTTGTAAATCGATGGAAGAGATGTTTGAGACTCGATTGAGTATGAAATCATGATATTAACTATTAATTAAAACCAGACAGCTGATATTTAGAATCGTATGGTATTCACACATAGCTAAAATTACAATCTACTGTTGCCACGCCAAAACCATTTTAACTAAGTGCCCCAGATTTTTTCTACACGAAACGTACGCCATTAACTAATCAAATGTTCTTCTAGAACATATAAAAAAATTAGTTCGGGTTATTGTATTTAGAGTTCGTACGGAGGCCGTAAATATTATATATTTTCGCATATAGCGTGACTGAAATCGACAAATGTTCTGTTCCTTCCGGAAGTTCCGGTCGCTATTTTCTCATATTAAATAGTTGTTATTTTCATCGGGAATTAAACCCGAAAATACATTTCCTTAAAAATGGCCATTATTAGCAATTTACATGGTTTTAGCAGTCACAGCAATAAGACTAAGTAGATCAGTAGTGCTATGACCGAGATAATTTCTGTACATTTTATACCGATTACATGGAGAGTTTTCAGCCTGGGCTAAATTTCAGCTCGGTAAACCGAGCCAAAATAGCATCATGATTACATGGGCAGTTTGAACCTGGGCTGAGTTTTAGTGAGAGCAATATTTATTCCTTGTATAGTATTAAAACAAACCCGGGATGAAATGTCATCCCGGCCTGAAATCATACGATATCACGAAAGGCAATATTCCGCTTGTTTGAGCATTTAAAACGCCGATTAGTCGACTATTTGGCTTGTGTAAGACTGTGGTTGCATATAAAGTATGAAAGATAAGACGAAATGCAAAATAAAGCTATTTAAACGATTGTTTTTTTTTACCCTGGGCTGAAATTATTTGCAATTACATGGGATATTTCATCCCGGTTGACAGGGCTGAAAATCTCATCCTGGGTGACATAAACCGGGATGAAAATTTCAACCCGGCCTGAATTTCAGCCCTATCAACCGGGATGAAATATCCCATGTAATCGCAAATAATTTCAGCCCCGGCTAAAAACAATCGTTTAAGTGGCTTTATTTTGCATTTCGTTTACACTTCGAAATTTTTTCCATATAATCGTAAAATTCATATTATATTGAATTTATAGGGTCCCGGGCTGAAATTTCATCCCTGTTTGCCAGGCTGAAATTTCATCCCGGGCTGAAAACCTCCACGTAATCGGCCCCCTTACTTTAGCTAAAGACAAAACTTAGCACATTTTCACTAAGCTATAAAAGAAGGATGACTTCGAAATTATTTTCAGTTTTTTTTAATTGTTAGTTTGCATGTGGTTTGGCTGAACATGCTCAGAGGACAGAGACAGAGAAATTGTAATAATATTCAGAGGTGGTCAAAACTGAAACTTTCTGCTCAGTTTTATGGCCTTTTTCTCATTACATATTTCAGTTTGTTGGGTTTGTTTTTGCTATATTGCAGCTTGAAATCCTAAACACTTTTGTGGTGAAAAGTAAACTATCAGGTAAGAGCGCCGGTTTGTCTTGAGACAGCGATCGGGCGATGTAATTAACGTGTAAATTTTGTATCTGGAAAGTTTGATACTGCATGTCTAAAACTAGATTTTGCCAAGGTCTGGCCACAGAACATAGATCAGTACCAGAAGGGCCACTCAGCGGTGCAACGTGTCGCCATTTTTCTATGCAAAAATATGCAGTTGACTGGCCAGATGGCGGGGCCTTCAGCCAATACAGCGCGTTTATTGGCCAGAAAATGGAATCGACTGGCTAGGAAGATGGCGGCCAGGGTGACATAAACTTCAAAGCTTCCGACGTAAGTGGCCCTTCTGTGTGCCTTATTCTGTGGTCTGGCCGTCATGGATATAAAGTGCTCCTTTTTCTCAATAGTTGGTGGTCATTGTGGCCATAATACTAGAGTTAAAAACAAATCATCAGAATGCGTTCAGTTGTTAAGTTGTAATCATGATATTACAGGGAATAAATCGGAAAACATTGAGCAATTCGTAACATAATAGTTTTGTTTGTGGAAACACCACGTAAATTTATATACTGCAAAGCTTTCGATCCGTAAGCCCAGATCTTCATCAGTGCACATATATATTATTAGCACTGATGAAGATCCGGGCTTACGCATCGAAAGCTTTGCAGTAATAAACAGTGTGGCCAGATGTTTGTCAGCGGATTTTACTAAACCTTTGCTAACATTTTACTAAATAGGCCAAAATTTTACCAGATTTGGATTTTACCCATCCCACTCCTGGGGGGAGGGGGGGGGGGTTTGATGGACAGTATTG